ATAACAAGACGTTTGAAATTGTAACTTCTCTTCAGTCTTACACACATTCATTTATATGTCCATCAAATTATCCTTGCAGAGTAACGGTAGAGGTGTACTGTTCAAGTTTACGTTGCTGTGTGGTTGTGAAGCATGGAGATGATTGTTTGCGTTTAGTGTTAGTAGATAACGATTACGAGGTTGGGTTTCATGCGATTAGTCGTCCAGGCCGTTTACCAAATGCTGCGATCATGAACTTGACGTATCCAACTATTAGGTGGATATGTTTGAGATCAATATGTCTTACTGTAACATGCATTGCACTAAGATTTTTATGTTCAGGACCAGGAAAGTCACCTAAGCTTCGCTCTAAGTGGTTTGCTATCTGCAAATATATTCAGTATCTTTGTCACGAGCTTGTACCAACTGATTGATTTCTTTGCACTTGCTTGCTGTTGTTTCGGTACGGTCCTAGGTATTCGGTTACGTGCTATGGTTGGTGGTCTAGCTACTCAACTTCACTAATTCTAGTCAGTGTGATAGTTGTTTGCGGGTCTGTTTATCTTGTAGTTGAGTGAGTGCATTTATCTTGGGAAAGTGGGGATTATGGATACCAGCCGTTATCACATTTTCTGGCAGGAGGCTAGTTGGCTGCAATGTAAATTAGTAAAATGATAATTTGAGTGTTGAAAGAAGGAGATTGTCTCAAGAATAAATAAATGATTTACTTAATTTTTAATTTGTAGGAGGACGGAATTGTAAAATAATAAAGGAAATAGTGATAATAAGGGACATGGATATCAATTACTGATATGAGGTGACGATATGCATGTTAAGTTATCAAACTTGTATCAGATAGTGCTGGTACAAGAGAGAGATGGTGATCCATGTGTGTTAGCCACTATCAGATCGCCTCTTTTTCTCCTGTAGCTCAATCAGAATAATCTCAGATGTTGGAGTTTGTTCTCGTAAAATTTATGTTTTAGATTGAACACTCATGTTTGTACTTGGTTTACGAGATTATTGCCTCTTTTGAAAAGAATGGGCACAACAACATTGTGGACTTTAATGAAATTTCGCAACACCAAACTCTTCGTTCATATTCTTTTATCTGCCGTATATCCTTATCTTCTACAATCCACATGTCATCTGACCTGGATATTGTAACTCAATCCATTAGTTGGCTTCATAGCAGTGCGGTTCACTAAATGGAAATCTAAATAACACTGTAAAACTTTAGCCATTTTAATTTGCTTGAAACGTCGAATTATTAGAGTCAGTTCATTCCGAAAAGGTATGCAACATGGACTTTAGGTTGGAGCAGCATTCACACATACTACAAACATAAAAAAGCCTGACATCACAAAAGGAGTAAGGGCAACGACACTGACCAGCAGATGAGGTGATCGGTGAGATAACTTCAATCTACCCATGTTTGTAGGGAAGAACATTTTATTAAATTATGGTCTAGCGGGATAAAACTAAGCAATGATATTGGCTCTAATTTCTTATGCTAAATACCTCTTTGGCTCGTTTCTGTAGCCTTGAATAGGTTTCACTTCCTACCGAGGAGTCCTATCACAAACAAACCTGGGTAGTTACACCAACACGGAGTTCTCTGATGACCCCACAAAACTATAATAGTAAGAATGAACTGAAATAGCCCTGACAAAAGAAGAGGGAGAGTCATTTGTGTGTTCGAATACTGTATTCCGTGCTAGATTTCAAAAGTACACGTAATCCTAAACTTTCTGCTTCTTTTTAAATTACCTCCATCTATACGTTCATTGTCCTACAAACTCCATACTAGGGCTTGTTTTATTGAGCTTAATAAAATGCTCTTGACAAAGAATTGACTTAATAAAAGAAAATAAGTTCAGGTATTCACGCCTTAGTTATTCCATCATAGAAGACTCAACTTCAATTTTCGTGAGCGCTGTCTGCTTACTTCTTGTTCCATCGTGATGTGCCACCGAAAACACATATGAAACATGTGACTTTGATTTAGGAGCACAGAAGAAGCCCACTCTGTTATCCACTTTTCTGGGAACTACTTTCCACATAAAATAGGCATCACCATATCATGATGAGAGCCAGGAAAGTCATACATCACAACGTGCCTATCAGCTACATACACTATTGCAATAGGTTTTGGTAACATCTTTTGTTCCGAGAGGCACTACTGGCATAACGACAGGCATCCAGATCTACTACACATTTTAAGAGTTAATGTATTTGTCCTGAATGTGGGTAACGTACGGCTCTTTGTGATACAACAGACATGCACTCCATCAACTTCAGTAAGGAATGCATGGTTTTGTAGATCACCAACATAGATTATCTATATCAAAATGATTGGGGTCTACTGAAGTTAGATGGGAATAGTGTGACCAACAGCCAACTTTGGACTCACAACTCATGGTCAGCATCTAACGTGTATTAGCTTTTCGAAGTATCAAAATACTATGGCCGTTTTGAAGACCGAACGATACGAAGGACGTTATTACGGAAATATTGGTAAGAATAAGTATAAGCGAATGTGTGACCACCACAAGGGCCAGTCCATGTCGTACGATTAAATGACGCGCACTGGTTGTCCCTGACCTTGACAAGGATCGATGACCTATTCAATATGCACTGACCCAACTGCCGGATGCTAAGGCTAGGGCTCAGAGATATTTCACTGGCCCTACAGTTTTGTAGACAGCTAATAAACTGCACAGCGATCGCTGCTACATATGGAGAAGTAGATATGGAAATTTTACTTATTTGAAAACAAGCAGCCCAGTTTTTGTAGTTTATAGTCTCTCCAAGATCTGACACAGACCCCACCTACTTCCAAAGTCGGCCTCTGTTGGCCTTTACTGTTTCATTAATTGTTTGGCACTCAGTTGTAAATCTTTAAAGACAAGGCATATCCAGCACTAAAAAGTAGAGCACTAGACTCATATCACATTGTAATTCAGTTGTTGATCTCAATGTAACCAGGATGAAAACGATATAATTAGATTTCGCTTCACTTTCCCAGATGTTCCTTTAATAGAGACCATTTATTTCGCATGCAATTATGTTGAAAGAGACTTGTTATTAGTGTTATAAAACACTTACCTTCAAAATTTAGTTCAGATTCAATATTGAGTTTTACAGGCAAACTGACGGCGTAAACATAGGTTAACCACTCGTCCCTTCTTAGAACACTGTTTCATCACGTCTTAAGAATACAGTACTTCAGTCAATGACTGACAGCTGCCAATTATAAGAGAGATATAGATTACGTCTTATTATTTATGATGAAACACCCACCTCAATACCATAAAAGATAAGTTCAATTCTTATCACTAATCAATTAAATTTACATTGAAATCAGATTTGAGTTCTGAATCTCATCTCCCCCACATCTTATTTAATGAAAGGATAGACAGTAAACTGCAAAGAACAGTATATCTAAGACCAACTTCGAATGGACAATATATGAATTTTCACAGCTTAGTCTAATTAAACAGAAAGCAAAACCTAATTAAATTTTTATCATCAAGGGCTAAGTGAATGTGCTGCGAAGACATACTAGGGGAGAAACTACCCAAACTTTAACAAATATTCATCAAAAACGGCTGTCTATTCAAGTTATTTTTGAGGGAAACATGAAATCGAAATTGCAATCTACTAGACTTCCTACAGTTCTTAAGAAAAATTTTTTCGTGAGCATTGGGTTCAAGGGTCATACTAGTGAAGAAATTTTTGGAAAACCGTCTGATGAAATATTTGTGTAAATCTTTCAATTCTGTTAAACTTTGCATCGTCATTCCATTATTCGTAATTATGTTAAAAATAAACACCTACCTTTTCAAAGTGCATAGATAAGTTTACTTGCTCATATGGAGTAAGTGAAATCGCACACACAAAGCGAGTGACTTCCAAACGCACCTCCGAACATAATCTTGCATGAATTTCGAAAGACAAATGTAAACAATCAGCAGTTCAATATTAGAACTACTTATGAACTCTGGTCACACTGCTTCCCTTGACAAATTTCATAGAATGATTTATTCAGTTGAATAATCAGGTTTAGGAGGAGAGCAACTTGATAACTTATGCACGTCAGAGATATGAGCAATTCATCTTTTCAAAACCGAATTTTGTAAGCAAAATAATGTGTGCAAGCCACCATTCTTTCATTGCTCTAAAAGTGATTTTCGAAAACGGCAATATGGAGTAAGTGAAATCGCACACACAAAGCGAGTGACTTCCAAACGCACCTCCGAACATAATCTTGCATGAATTTCGAAAGACAAATGTAAACAATCAGCAGTTCAATATTAGAACTACTTATGAACTCTGGTCACACTGCTTCCCTTGACAAATTTCATAGAATGATTTATTCAGTTGAATAATCAGGTTTAGGAGGAGAGCAACTTGATAACTTATGCACGTCAGAGATATGAGCAATTCATCTTTTCAAAACCGAATTTTGTAGGCAAAATAATGTGTGCAAGCCACCATTCTTTCATTGCTCTAAAAAGTGATTTTCGAAAACGGCAATATGATTTTTAATACATCTTTCTATTGTTTTCCATCTCCTCAATTTTAATTACTCGTTATGATCACCTCCATACTTTAAATTTCTTCTTCACCCTTCCCATACTCGTCAAGTGGTTGATTGGTTTTCATAAATTTGATTTCGGCTTGCCATCTTTCTTCAGATTCTCGATCGTTAATTAATTTTCTCTGACAAATGCGTAATGTGATGTTTTCGTTCTCCCATTTTTCAATAGGATATTTAACTTACATAAGACGATAAAATGACCTGAAATATATATAACGTATGTGATGAAATCACAGTTTAACTATTGTTTATCTTTGAAAATAAACTGGATATCTAGCTCAATAATTTAAAAAGTCAGTTTAAAGTTGATTTCACAACCATTAAAAGAAATGAATGTTTTTTTTCAAGAAAAGAGATGTAAAAATGTCTAATTTGTTTTATATATAGAGTTTGGTTATCATTATAGTGTCTGTGATATAATTCATCAAAATGATTAAGTTACATTGGTCACCTTTATGTTTCGTTTCTCAGTTACAAATAGGGCAATACACATGCTTACACACATACATTCTATATTGATAAATTGTGATTGGATAACTTGTAATGTTAATCGATGAACAACTATATTATTGAATTTTTAATACTATGGTGTGGATGAATACCTCAAAACGAACTAATTTTTCAGTTTTATACCTATCTATGTGATGAAAATGCAGAGTAAATCGTCATCATTACAATCAGAGCATCTTTCTGGTACTCGCCATCAACATCGTAATCATTACATACATCATAAACATGGAGAACACTTTGTTAGATTACCGTATTACATTTTATTAGTAGCGTTATTCTTATCTTTATACTTTCTAGCCACATCTCTTATCATGGATGATAATTTATTTGGTAAGTGTATTTCATTTAATTGATTAATTATTCAAATTCAAATTCAAATTTTAAAAGTAGAATTGTGTCTTCCTACATACACACAACCTGTTTTTTTACTAACTTGACATGAATTTAAGTAAGTTGATTTGCCAGTATAAGAAATATTATATTTATATATTAATTGATTGATTTTTGAGTAAAGACAAATGTCATGTTTTTCTAATTCTAAGTGATGTTCAAATTCTATTGATCGCGTTCCATTCTGGTCACTAGTCTACACAATTCGAAACAGGGTGAAAAATTTGATTGGGGTTTGATTCTACCTAGGAGGATCATTTCCCGTAAGATTACAGGTAAATCTTTCTGTCAAGGACTAACTAGCATAAGGCTTAGGCGTTGGGGTATTTTCCAACTTCTGATCCGCAAAAGAAAATATATCAAAGAGGAGAGTCATATGAAATAGTATTAATCCATTTGTTTGTGAGCTAGCGTGTATTATATTAAATAAGCTATGTTTGTTCGATTTCAGTAATGTCAGACTTTTATGCATCTAGTATGGACGGCATGTTTGCAGCCCTACATATAAACCATTCAGATAAGTAACACGTGCTATACAATGCTTAGCATAATGTTTAGCTACATTACTAAAAAACTTTTGAAACCAGTTAAAAGTTTGTGTATGTAGGCCACACTGGTGTGTATTTTTATGTGAATATTTGAATAAACCATAGAGTTTTCTAAATCGAATATTCCATTCGAATTTCTAGAGAACTTAGTGACTATAATATCATTGAATAAGTGGTTATCAATGAATCAGTTTTAAAACTTACCTTTTTTTGTGACAACATAATTGAATACACATCAGAAAACTAAAATCATTATTTTGGCACGAAGTATTCAACCAAAACAGTATGACAATGAGTTAATTGTCATTTAACGAACGAATAATGAGGGATAAAATTTAAAGTCCTAAACAATTGAAGATTATTAGTTCCGATCCATCTTAGTACAAATATTTTCACCTGTTCTATTAAACAATGAGGCTTCTTTAGTTCCTTATAGGGTTAAGTTAAATTATGTAGTAACATGAGAATTATTTTATTACGAATGCAAGTAAAGCTGAGGAGTCTCACAATAGGACGAGACGGACGTCCAGTGCTTCCAGGTTTTCAATGGTGGTCTAACGTCAATCGGTTCATGGTTTCAGTCAAAAAAGCTAAGCTTATTTCCGCAAACTTAGTGTGACATTTTTATTTAACACTGATCTTAATAACTGAATAATTTAAGCTCAGGACGGTCTAAAGGCTTAGTCACAACTAATGCTAAAGTAAAGATAATTTACAATTCATATTTGGTGCTTGTTTTACTAGGAAGATACTTTATTTAGATAAAGCTTATTCAATAATTTAAACTTCTTAGCTTCTCTTCTTTGCCTTTAAAACATCGCCTTCCTCTAATTAGTCGAATATCAGTAAGTAAAATGACATTCGCATGAAATGTCACCATTTAATCGAATGTATTCGAATGTCTGTATACTAAAATTCCAGCCCAAATTAATGTTATAAGAAGGTAATAACCGAAAGCAATTGAAAGCAAATGACTGATTAACTAGTCTAAACCTTGTTTACTATACCATTTAAAATAACTAATCCTTTTGATAAATTCAGATAATAAACATTCGACTCCTCTTCTTAGGCAGAAGAAGATGATGGTTCCACCAAACATTCGATATATAGAAAGCCAACATGAACAAGACAGTATCTTCGTTTTCAAAGTTATTGCTCTGTCTAGCACAGACGTGCGTTCATAAAGGGCTTATTCAATAGAACTAATCGTATTTTCACTAAATATAATATTGAGGGAGATGTAAAGCCTTTGACTGAAACATTGATGAAACGTCTTTATTCTTTAAAGTTTATAAACTGATAGGAAGGCAAAAATATGACGAGACCTAGTATGTCTTTGACACCGAAAATTGGGTCTATATCACCCTGTCATTCAGAGGTGACTCATGTAGTTGTATGTTGAAAGGAAGACCTAAATTTACTAACATTAAGACATTTTATGCAGCTCAACTCATCACTGTTGAAAAGTCAAGGTTTAGGTTTCATCAGAAACCCAGAATGTACGTGAATGATTGTGTCACATCCCACCGATCGCGTCTATCAGTTTGCATATACGTAAGGAAATACCTACATAGGGAGGAGTAGATGTGGTCTGCAAGTAATGGTGGCTGAACACATATCTAAATGGCTATGACAACAAATGAACTTCAATGGTCAAATAGGATTACAGCAAAGACAGATATTTCCTTCTTTTGCGATACGTTTAGTTGAAACAAGTTATAGGGCTGGTATCAAATCAGCCTTTGTAGTGTTATGTAAAAGTAAACAACGGGATATACTAAGGTTTATTGAAGTCATGCCAATACGAAAACTGGATTTTCGTGTATGTGCTCAAAAGGAGTTTACTCTTACCTTTAACCTATCCCAGTATTTCTGATTTATTATCCAGTGCCGTTTACACATAAATTATTTTGATTCAACTTACCTTCTAATTTGTCTAGTTGATTTTTCATTTTTACGTGTATAGTTCCTTAACAAGTATGTACTTGTGACCAGGTCATTCAAAATGTACTGCGCAAATACATCATATAGTTCTGATAACCTTCGTCGTCGTATTGCATTATACAGATGCGATAACATTCAAAATACATTTTGAAACACCAGTCTGTATTTAAATTATATAACTTCCTAATTCTAGCCTTACAGTAGTAGTTTACCACGATCCTGATACACATTTTAAACCAATTATTGTATATAATATATTTATTTAAAATATTTGACATAATCTTTTATTTCTATTTACACATTTATTACACTATGTTGATGCGCTTTCAAGGCATTCTGATTTGCTGAAAATGTTATGTGATATTTCGTGGGCACTTAGTAAAAGTCTCAACAAGCTAATATGAATTCATGTAATTTTGACCAAACTCCTATTGTTGTGTTGTTTTTAAGTTATCAATGAGATATAATGTAAAGAAAAGATAACTGCTGTCACTGTCTGCATCATTAAAAGCGACCAATCAACAGAGTAATAGTTATACATAAAGATTCTTTAGCAGTTTGCACATCATAATTATTATATGTTAAAGTAGTCAGTTCTATTAGTTATTAGATGAAATACGCAAGTTAAATACATATATCGTTTGATTGACAAGTAGAAATATTCAAGATATGCTTAAGTTACCATTGTGAGATCACCGTCACTTAGATGATTGTGATATAGGCAGTGACTAAAGTAGGTAGTTTAAGTTTGAGGTTAAAATTTATCTGCCGTCCAGAAAAACTTTATTTTTTGACGCTTGACTGAAAAGTACTGAAAAAAGTTATTAAATTTACTTTGAAAATCTATGACAAGTAGCCTGAGTTGAGTTATTCTCAATAAGATTCTTTGGTAAACTTGAGATAATCCCATCGACTTAATGGTTAATTTACAAAATCTAAGTTTCTTACAAGCCGATCAATGTCGAGAGATATTTTTGAAACATTCAACTTAACCTTATCATATTGTCAGCATTAGCGCCAAAATAATGGTTGAAATGCTGCAGTATAAGGAGTACACTTATATGATAATTACAAATGATCACTCTAACAGATCACTTGAAAGAATCTTACATAAACTTGTTATTATTGTATTATGGCAATAATAACTATGTACTTATTTATGAACTTATTTTTTGAATATGGTTCTCGTCACAGATCAGAAACAGGTGCAGGGGGAACCATTTTAATGCCGCAACATTGATTGGTGACTACTGCAAGGAAGAAAGTAATTGAATTTTTTTAATCATTCAATACAATCTCTAACATACGGTATTCTGATTGAAATACTTTTTTTCACCGGAAACAAAAATAGTCTAGAAGTTGTCAGATTTCTATCTGATAATGCAGTAGATTTATACAAAAATGTCTTACATAATTTTCAAGATTTTCGTCACTCTTAGGCTGTTACATATATAATTTCAAAAAATAACAAATGTTAATGTCAATTTGTAAACAATTAATGTGATATTGGGTTTGATCCCCACTGACATAGTGAATGCTTTCTACTCCCGATTTCAACACTAAGATGAAACAACGATTTTAAGTTTTTTGGTTTTCACTGTTTATCTTGCTACGTTTAATTTATGAAATGAAATTTGTTTTTTCACAAAAACAGCTTCTCATAAAAAATACAATATCTTCGTTTTGTGAGTATGGTATTAACTTGATCATTTCAGTGTATCAGGTTGTATTTTTTTGCATTAATTAATACCAAAACCATTCTGGTCTACATGACTACATATATCAACAGAACGTTTAAACTATCTAATACTTATGTAATTAGCATTGTAAATTATGTATGATATTTTTTATCATGTGATTTCAATGAATGATCACGTTACGTATTGGTTATACAACTACTTGATATGCGACACTACTTTTGCGTGAATCTATAAACCTTTTGATATTTGCACCTCTGGTATGGCATTGGTCAATGCTTAGAGATCAGTCAGTTGTAAATATCCCATTTCTATAGGAAACCAGTTGCAACCTAAATAGCTCAGTGGTAACATCTCAGACAGTGAAACCGGATAGTTTACGTTAGAATCCCACAGTAATTCTTCATTCCTAGAAGATTTCAGCTAAGCTTTCCTTAAAATTGTCAGATAGTACGTAACCTATGTCCAGGATTTCCTGGCGACTATATCTAACCAGCTAACATCACAATATAGCTCACACGATGTTGATTCATATAAACTGTTGTTTACGTTATAACTTGATAGATTGAATTTGATCAGCTTAAAGGACTAGACAAACGTGACACTGGTCACTACTCAATGGTCATTAGATCCTACATTTTAAATACCGATGAATTCTTTTTACATAACGATATTTTCCAATATTTAGGCAAATTATCATAGTACGGTGGATTATAACTAAAACAATAAATTCACTTAGTGTACTCTGTCATTAGTGTCAAAACTTATGTAAAAAATTCATTTGTTTAAATAACACTATGAATGTTCGGTCCGTATTTTCTTTTTTTTTAAAACCATATTTACATTAAAATAGACTGTTACAGGTGTAATTTTGATTAACAAAAGTTTATTTTATTTTAATTTAGCTCCTTATTCCTTAATCGATCATTCACAGTTATGTTCACAAATACTTTTGACTTTATGGTATTGTTATCCAGCCTACTACCATTTAATTAATGACAATTTTATTATTATTGTCAAATACATATATATTAATGTAATCTCGTGATGTAAAACTAAATGAAAAGAAAAGAAAACAATCTCTCATCTCGTTTTTGATTTATTTTCTAAATGCCGAAATGAGAGCTTATACTGTAGCGAACGAGAACTACTTATGTGGATATAAGTAGCACACACTACAATACTAAACTGAAAAGTTAGACTGTAAAAGAATTTCAGAATTCAGTGTATATACATATCATAAGTTGAGTAATATCTGACATTCAGAACATATAAATGCTTGGATAAGCTGTATTTTATTGGTTTTAATCAAAACAAACTGAAGCTTTTTTTGTACAACTTTTGTTAAACATTCAATAGATATGAGTGACATATTGATTTGATGGATGACTACTGCATATTAGAAGGTAATTCTCAATAAAGACTTCGTTTTAACGTCTTACTATGATTGTGCCATCCACTCTGAGTGTCAAGCTGCGACATTTATGCATATGGAATAGTTGGAAATAATCCCAGCCATTTAACTTTATTTCAGCTGATTTAATTAAATCTTAGCATGTGCACATTGATGATTAGTATAATTGATCCTTAAAAACTAATATTCAGAAAGTCGAGAAGAATACAGAAATCTAGATATTAATATTAGCAATCAAGACAAGTCGTTTATCAATAGATAGTGGGTAAGTGATAAATAAAGCATATTTTGCTTCAAATATATACACATTATTTACAACTTACAGTTGTCTAAACAACCTGAACATCCGACCGTTGGATAACTTTGAATTACCAACGTAAAACTCTGATAATTGGATTAAACAACAGTTTGTGGTGTATGAAGAACTGTTAGTCTTATGTTCAGTTCTTAAAAATTCTCCATAAAGTGTTCTGTATAATCATAAATGGAAATTGGAATCCAGAAAGCACATTTCGTCCTATTTGGGACTCATCAGCTAGGTATACTTGCATTCCAGTGTTGATATTCACACCATGACTAGAATTTAATTACCTTCGCGTCAAACTCTCAAGATTCACTTAACTACTGAGTTTAAATAGTCACTGACCTATGCGAAGGGGATAAATCTTATTAACTGTTCTTAACAGTGATTCTAATAGTTCAAATCATGTGTCAATTTAAGCTAGACCACCATGGAAAACTTGGAAGCACTGGATGGGTGTTTCATTCTATTGTGGGACTCCTCAGCGGTGCGTATCCACGACCCCTCCTCAAAAGATTCGAGCTCAAGACATATCGGTCTTGGGCTCGAGACTGATGGCTTCAAGTTAGTGACGTTCATAAAGAGATCAAAAGTCAATCCATAAAATAAACAACACGAATATTTGAACACATACAACTATTTTCATCATTTTCATAAATAATGAAAAATAAAAGCAAAACCTTTAATTATATTAATAAAATCTAATTTTCTTCTTTTTCAAGAAAAAAAAACATGACCATTTTATTTGGTTCTTTTTCTTTTTCTCAAATATTTAGCAAAAAATCAATCAGCTAAAGATTTAGCTCAACAAATATTCAATATACTTGCAATTGGAACAATTCTAATTGCAATGATAATTGATGTGATACAATTTTTCATAATTAATAAATATCAAAAATTATGTACAAAATGTTTATTTGGTCTCATAATTTTAAGTTGTAAGTGTATCGTTAATTAATCATATTTTCTATGTAACTTAAATTGTCCTCAAATGACTTTTAATGAAAGATAATGAATCTTTTCAGTATAGTTTTGATAATTGAATATTGATTTTTATGTTCTGTAGTAAAATACATTGTTATTCAATTATTTTGATTAGGATTAACTCACTAGCTAAATATTTTAATGTGGAATGATGACCAATTTCAGTGATATTTTAATGACTCAAAAAAAAGTTGACTTTATCCCAATTAGTGACTATGGAACTTCAGCCTCACACATGCGTAGTAATATTTGAAACCTACAATCTGGCATTTTTTTTTGTATTGGTATTGTTCTCTCGAGTTTAGCTTAAATGTAAGAAGCTACTAAATATTCGAATATGAAATTGTACCATCATTAGACATCATCATTAACTCAAATTTTGCGTTGTCATATTTGATTCTATTCGAGAGTGTCTCTCAACTTTGCTCACGACCTAAATAGGTGAACGGACACAGTAAATTGATGTGAATAAGCATATTGATAGTTTTATTGCTAAGAAGCTTTCAATCACAATCTATAGAGAGTGTATACCTTTTTTGATACCAAAATTACTTAATGAATTATTTGGAAAATAAAGACAAATTTATTTTAGTTGATCCCATATTTTAATTCACTTGATATTGTTCAGTTAAATCTTCTCATTGATGTTTAAGACTGCAATTGATCAGTCTGTTATTGGCATATGTGCATACTGTACGTATTGCTTCGATATTGCCTTAATTCACAGGCATTATAAGCAAAGATGGATAGTGGCTAGCAGTGGAATCCAGGACTCGCATTTAATCCTATTTGGGACTCGTCAGCTAGATTTACCTGTACCTCAGAGTTAATGTTCACTCTGGGATTCGAAATCAGTACCGTTCACTTCAAACACCATCGTGTTATCCACTTAGCTACTGAGTCCTGGTAGCCACTTTTATTTTGAACTGTAAGTAAACATCAAATGTTATATTACAACACCATTTCAGTCGGCTTTTTATACACTCTATCAGATTCATTTTCTAAAATTTGTCAGTCTAAATTTATCCTAGGAGAAATTACCCGAGATTCTTATTTATCCAGATGATGTAAACTAAGTATTGTCCAAAAATTTCTATCAATCTGGTAACGCTCGTAAACTGGTTCGTATTCCGTTGCAAATTTCTGAATATAAATTATCGTCATGATTCCTGATCACAGTGATTTGAATTTGTCCAGCCATCTAACATCATGCATATGAATTGTTGAACCAGGATATTTACTTAGTCCTATGAATTTAGAAAGCATCCTAACTTGTGATGTGGAGGAGATTGAAACGCAAAAGTTTATTTATTGATCGCAGTTTGAACAAAATGAAATTTGAAATTATAATTCTGATTGTATATTAATCGGCATTAAAACAGGTCAATTGGTGATGAAGGTATAACAAGACAAATTTTACGTGCAACAGTTTCTTTGTTCGGTAATTAATGAACAGATTTACTGCAGTTACCTCGATTTATTGGTTGTATTCTCTGTTAATATTTCGCTTTGTTTTTGTGCTAGATCTTCGTTTTCAGGTTAAATTCCTAAAGTAAAACTTACTTACTTACTTACGCCTGTTACTCCTCTTGAAGGAGCATAGGCCGCTCACCAGCATTCTCCATCCAACCCTGTCCCAAGCAATCCTTTCCAGCTCCTTCCAGTTGTTATTCATCCTTTTCATATCTGCTTCTATTATCCTACGTAATGTGTTCTTAGGCCTTCCTCTTTTCCGCTTCCCTTCAGGATTCCAAGTTGGGGCTTGTCTCGTGATGCAGTTTGACGATTTACGTAATGTATGTCCTATTCATTTCCATCGTCTTTTCCTAATTTCTTTTTCAGCTGAAAGCTGATTTATTCTCTCACACACTTTTTAAATTACATTTTTCTGATCACATCATCATAGCTCACTGACTCTATAATTCTTATCTAAAGTACTTTCGTTTTACCGATTCTCAGAGATTATACACAGATAGCCAGTATCTGCCAGTGGTAATCTCGTTCATGGAATAACAGTATAATTAATTTCAATGAATATACCGATACTATGAATTGTGTCACCGTAATTACAAATGTAATAATAATTTGAATAGTGTAAGTTTTTATCTTGCCATAAAAAACGATAAATAATTTGGGTTGGTACAGAGATAATCATATTGATCGCGGGCACGACTATCTCGCTGACTTTCGTCATGGTTTTCTAGCCAATAAAATCTTATACTTTGTCCAGGTTCACATTTCAGCTCACTTACTTGAGAAATATATCGTATAAAACCTAACACAAAAAGCATGAATTTGATTTATGCGATTTGAAAATTTTATTGGAAAGCAAATCAACAAGTTAACATATTTTGATACTAATAAAGTATTTTATTAAATATAAAAATGCTTACGTAATGTGAATTAGAGGAGAAAGACGCATTACACTATCCTAAGAAATTGTTGCGAACCACGAAATCGATTTATATTGTATGCATCTTATCATCTTAGACTAGGGTTAGATGTCAAACGGTTGACTCTTGATAGTTATCCATTCTCTGACCAATAATATTTATCAATAAAAGTTCCAGACATAATCTTAATTATTCAGTGATATGAACAGAATAAAATAAAATATTAGAAAAATTCTATTCCACTCAATTTCTTATGTTAAATGATCTGTGATTTTTCTGATTTTATGCCATAGCTCATTGATTGATTATTGATACCTCAACAATTGAAAATCAATATGTCGTAAGTGGTAATAAAGCGATCACTTAAACGATTGGAAACTATTGAATCTATATCTTTGTCACTTATATCTTTTAATCGAAATCTTTTTTTTCATTTGCTTTTGGTAGCATAACACAGTATATTGAGGTAAGCTGTGATTGAGAAAATCAAACATCTGAACACAATATTAGATTCAGTCTGATGCTCAACTCTATGTCTGTTTTTATTCTGTCTGATATAAATGTATCAGATTCGTGTAGAATTTGCAGAACAAAAGATATCTTTGGTGAAATGCACAATTTATAGATCTCGGGTTATGAACTGATCTTAGTTAGATCACTATTGAAAACCTGGAGACACTGGGTGGGCATTTCATCCGATCATGGGGCTCTTCAGAAGTGTTTCTCTACTATCCACATCAAGGAATCAAATCTAAGACCCTTAGTTTCTCTCATCAACGCTGACCTCTAGAACATTGAGTCGTGTGATATAAAGTCTATACAAATTCTATAATCTCCTTAAAACCTTACACTAAAAATACATATCTGTCAGTACTAATTTTTTTTGTTCATTCTTTGTTCGTATTTATTTCAGTTATTTTAGCAATGACTGCAGCAACATTGGCTAATATTAATTCACAATTTTATGGAACCAGAAAAATACCTCATCCATCAACATGTTTATTAGCTGGGAGTGCAATTACTTTCCTAACATTTTTAATTGCAATTGTTCCTTGTCTTGAACGACAATTAGATTAATTACAATTATTAAAATTGATGATTAATTTTACATAAAAAACAGAAGCAGATTTTATTTTCTACACTAAAGTACCATATATTCAAAAAATATAAATGATTTAATCAAAAAAATAATTGTTAATTACTATAGAGCACTTGTGAAGATTATCGACTTTTAAGCTGACATCATCGACTGAACCTAGTAAGATAACTATTGAAAATTGATAAAAACTAGCTAGCTGTTTCGCCTTATTACGAAACTCCTCGATAGGGCGTATCGATATCTTTGCCTTGGATAAAACTTGGGACCTTCTGAACTCTCAGGGAGTACTTAACCTGTAGACCGTTTGGCCAGCATCCTGTGGTGTACATGTTTAACTTAAATCAATTCGCGCTACTGCACAATCATGTGAAACAATGTATAGAGGCTCAGTGGTCAATAGGTTGTCGAGACCTGAAGGTTGGATCTCAAGTATGCTCACGGACATGATGAGGATCTCCATATTAGGACTAAATGGCCGTCTAGTCCTAGCTAATTTTTAATCGTTGCCTGAATAGGATGTGTTCATGGTGTAAACTATGAGAATTAATTATTCATGCCTCAAAAGATATGTCTTTGTTAAAACCCGTGTTTACCTTATTACTGTTTTTGTCAATGTCGGTCAAAATCTGAACTTTATGATTGACCATCATTGATTAGTATCATAATTAAAGTTAAAAATCATTTTTCATTAATTAATTTATGAGATGAGTGAGATTCAATGTTTCTGTTTGAGGTAATGTCAAATCTCAAACCACGTTAATATATTTCAGCAACGGACCCCAGTATTTGGCTTCGATAATTGACTTGTCATACTGTGCTACATCTAACATATATCATTAAAATATAGAGAACTAAGTGATATTAATGAGCGTTATTTCATCTTGAAATTGATCCAAAATACTTTTATGATCTGACAAAAGTAATCAGGTAGGAAATACAGTGTAATGAAGCACGAATATCAATCTTTTGACAAATGACATGATTCAGAAAGTTCATCAAACAAAGTCGTTTTCCTAAAATCTCTGGGGTAAAACCAATAATCATATCAGCAATTACTGGCTTAGTGACAGATAAATACTTCGTTAAAGTATCGAATACATTAACAATCGATCTGTTACATCTGCTCTCATTCTATCATCACTGTTCTGAACCCCAACATGTACGATTTGTAATTTTTTCAAACATCAACGTTTGACTGGACGAAAGTGATGAATTCTAAAGTTAATGTACTCAAAGACAAATGGTCGATACCAGGAAAATACTGTTTAATTTGTAAGACACAATGATGTATTAATGTGTCTATTTTCTCAAATGATAGCAATCAAGAAGACGCAACAAGCATCATGGCGCAAACAACAGAACATATCAGTATTGGTGTTATTTCTTCCTCCGTGTATTATTTACAGTAGTATTTATTTACACAGCTAATGTAGGTAATACTTACAATAAGGAAAGTAAAAAATGAACAATGAGTTTATTTACATAGGAATTATTAAATTCATAGCACAAATTAATTAGAAATTAAAGTGTCTATTATAAATTATCTTTTCTAAATCCTCGTACTAAGTAACATTTATGATCACAATATAGAAAATTAGTAGTCTCTTATCACTAACTTTATAGTACTGATCTCTCATTTGGAATACTAGCTTAAAAACTATTATGTTTACTCTCTGAAATGTTCATATTTCTCACTACATTCAAGCAGCTCTCCGTTACACTTTGGATTACTTTGATGAAGTAGAACATTAACTATTTTTCTTGAATCCATCTTAAATCTTAACGGCCATTCAATGCATACCACTGAACAGTATTTCCGGATATATAAAATGATTAGTGAAGATTTCAAATGAATAGTTTAATAATAAGATCGGCCGTCTTGGTATTTTTATCAATCTAACTTGGTTAAACAATAATAAATTCTTTTGAAAACTGTGTGTAATCGATACTGTAACTGATTGAATGGAGTGTCGAACAAAATATACTAAATCACATTATTACTTAAAGAATAGAGAACACTTCAAACTAATGACCTAAATTAGGAGGTCAGACTTTCTACAACACAGAAATAAATTTAATTCACTGTGTACCGTGAACAAATGACATGAATAATATTGAGCACTATGACAAGAAGGTTTACTTCCGACGATCATCAGCTTTTGAATGATAAAAAACTATGTTGATTAACAAAAGTAGAAGTGAGATAGTCCATTTTAGATATCAACAAATGTTTCTTATCCGAAAAGCACGTTTTTGTTTTATCCCATTGAATACCATCAAGATAAATTTACTCCAGATGCTTGGGGAAAAAAGTTTTGCAAATTTGCACTTGGTAATTTATAAATGAGAAACTTGGCGATCTAACTTCACTGAGCAACTAAGAAAATCTTTTTATTTTATGATAACATGATGAACCGAATAGAAATTACAATTAAAAATAATTCGCCATGAGGGATAACACGGTATATTTTGTATTGAAAAGCCGTTACTAATGCATAAGATGAATTATTTATATTATCAAGGTCAAATGTATCAGTTTGACAATCAGGCTAGATGAGAATTCAAACATTTCATAACCATGTAGGAAAAAATTACTGGGATATACATAGAAATATCATTTACAAACTTAACAGAAGTATCTGTTATCTGAAAGATGAGTAGTTTATGGGAGTGCGGAGAAAATAAGTGACAAGAATGGCTTATTAGTGTATAGCAGGTTCAGAGATTAAAACTATCTGCCTATGTCACAATACAAGGAACAAAATATTTTATTTAAGGGAAAATTTGAACTTTTTAATTGAAATCATGAACCGATTAATGTTAGACCACCACTGAACACCTGGAAGCAATGGACAGCTGTTTCGTCCTGTTGTGGGACTCCTCAGCAGTGGGCATCCACGATCCTGCTCGTGGGACTCAAACTCAGGGCCTTCAGTCTCTCATGAGAACGCTTAAACTCTAGAGCATTGAGCCGGCATCTAACGGCATTAATGTCTAATCTCAACTAATCCACGGAATTGCGCGGAAATGTGAACATAAATGAAATAATATTTAGAACTGCAAACTTGTTAAGTAGGATACTACTGTTAATAGCATCAGGAAAATTTTTAATCAGAATGCTAAGCATATCGTTATGTTGAAAGTGGTGATGAAGTCAATAAATTTAAACACTTTAAAACGTCGTTTTCAGCAAACTTCTAGAGAAATGTTATGGAATTCAGTTAGACAATACATTTACCTTTAATTAAATCCATTATTTGCTTCTAGTTACCGATTGGTCTTTAAAATTTTTTACTGTGATTTTTCTTTAATAACCAACCTTGCATTTTCAGATTACTTATCATTTCATTTTGGTCAAATTTCTCTAATCTAATTAAAGAACGTTTTACGGTTATTCTTTAGCTTATTTCTTTGTCCAGCTTTATATTAATGTAAATAGCCTACTTAATCTACTTTTTTAGTAGTCAGTTGACATTTCACATCATATAATTCATTCAAACTTTATATCATAGCATTTTACGCCACGAAACCCCAACATTCATTATTGCTACTATAATGTTATTCTAAGTAAACGTTTAATCTAAACTAAAGACACTGTTAGCAGTGTATTTAGTTAGTACAATTATGTAACCATTGTGAGTTCAGATTTTCATAACACTTTCGCGGAATTGTTAAAACTTGCATTCGACCTCATTTCGTTTGTGGCTATTAGAAAAATAAATGCAGTATGTACGACTTCAGTGAGTTTTACTTATAGAGTTTTAATGGATGATTAATTGTATCAGCAATTTACTATTTTTACTTCTAAAAAAATTTGTACCAATAACAATAATTATCATTAAATTCATTGGATATTGTTTGTTTGAAACTTCTTATTGATGTTTAGGACTTCAATTGATCAGTCTTTTATTACCATATGTGTATCCTGTGTATGTTGCCTCAATACTTCCTTAATTCACAAGCATTATATGCAAAGACAAGTAGTGGCTAGCAGTGGGATCCAGGACGTGATGACGTTTGAAGCGGACGTTACTGGGTTCGAATCCCAGAGTGAACATCAACTCTGAGATGCAGGTACATCTAGCTGATGAGTCCCAAATAGGACGAAACGCGAGTCCTGTATTCGGCTTCTAGCTAACATCCATCTTTGCTTAATAATAATTATTTGTTATCGCATTTTCGAAAATTAGTGATGAAGAAATAATTATCTTATTATTCATTTTGAATAACACCTGTCACTGTTTTCAGTTACGTAACATTTAGAACTACTAATCTACTATCCTAAAACGTTTGTATTAGTTCAAAGTAGGAGTGAAGCGATTTCATTCCCATTCTAAGGAAAATCTTAATTTTGATTTCCTATTTAATAAAAGTATTAATAACAGTAATAAACAGGAGGAATATATGATAATCCTGTAGTATTTCATATTCTATTAAAAAGAACTCTGATATTTCAAAATGTTTAGATTATGTTTGAAAAAGTGGTAAATTATAGAATACAATGTAGATCTGTGACTAATTTACAACTGGATTATGCAAATGATGTCAAACATTAGATTGTTGGGTTTAGTCCAATAGGGAAAATGAGCCTCCATTTAGTGAACTTTGATATAATGACGCTTGTCCAAAGAATGTATCTTGAATTGTGAAACAATTTCCTCTTCCAGTAAGATTCTAACTCACATCACTCTGTATCAAAGTTTGAGACTCTATCATTAAGGTACGACCGAGATTTGTAAACTGATTAATCACTGAGTAGTAACCAATGTTATTTATCCAGTCATCAAAGTCGATAATATCATATTTCAATAAGCATTATAAAATTACCCATAGATTTTAATATTATTGATTTTACCAAACATCACTGATGAATCGATCAAGTATGTTATGCAAAACGTCATAAATCGACGACTGTTCACCTAAATGACCATATAGTTCAAATATATAACTTTATCATTGTTAATGTCGCATATCTACAAACATATTATTAAGAAAATGCTTACATGAGCTTGAGCTGTGCTTTCACAAAACTCAGTGTTCATTTATTATTGTCCCACAAGGCGTATGACGATCATTTGTATG